AGAAAGGAGGGAAGGAAGGAGGGAGGGAGGGAGGAACGAAGGAGACACACCAGGTGCATGTGTGTGAGAGAGAGGGGAATGCGGTGCGACCACCCCCACAAAGGGTGAGACCTCCCTCCCTCCCCCCCCCCCATGAATGTACATGCCCTCTAGCAAATTTTTAAAAAGAAAGAAACTTCTAAAAAAAATGCTATAGCGGGAACCAGCAGTTAGCGTAGTGGCTATGTTGCTGGACTCCCACGTAGTCGACCGCGGTTCGCGTCCTGGACCCGGTGGCTTAAAGCTCACGCCGGGCACATGTGCGTGCGGGCCCAAGATCCCGAGAGGAGAATGGAGGAGAAGGGATTGCGGCGTGACCATCCCCCCTGGGGGGTGATTTCTCGCTTTCTGTCTCTCTGTCTCTGTCTGTCTGGCGAGCGCATGCGCACTATAGCGAAAACCTCTCCAAAAAAAAAAGAAAAAAAACTGCTGTAGGGAACCAGCAGGTCGCGTAATGGCTATGTAGCGGGTTAGCGTAATGGCTATGTCGCTGGATTCCCACATAGTCGACCGCGGTTCGTGTCCCGGACCCGGTGGCTTAAACTCACACCGGGCGCGTGTGCATGCGTGCCCAAGATCCCGAGAGGGGAATGGAGGAGAAGAGATTGCGGCATGGCCATCCCCCCTGGGGGGTGATTTCTCACTTTCTGTCTCTCTTTCTGGTGAGTGCACTGCAAAAACAAACAAACAAAAAACCTCTCCAGAAAAAAAAAAAGAAAAAGCTGTAGCAGCAAACGGTTGGCTTTAGTTAGTGACAGAGAGAACACCTGCCTGCCCACAGCCTAGCATGTCCCTTGTCATCGGAGGCCTGGTGGACAGCTCCCTTAGGCCTTCCTGTAGCTGTGCTTCTCACAGCACGCTAAAACTCGGGACCACACACAGACCACACAGAGTACACTGTGGGAGCTAAGAGGAGGCAAGGGCCCCCAGGTGTCCAGGGTAACCACCCACTGCTGCACCTCTATGTGGACTGAGACACAGTCATCCACACCGTCACCCACAATGGCCTCCCTGGGCCCCACAAAGCCAGGAGAACACGCATGCACACACATCCCCTTTCCTCTCTGTACAAATCATGTGAGAAGCCAGCCAGGGCGAGAGGATGAGACCACAGCCAGCACAGCAATCGGTACAAGTTCTGAGAGCAGAGAGAGGAACAGAACTCCCAGGGAGCATGCGAAAGCTCAGGAGGAAGGGGGTAACAGGAACTATGCGAAAGAGACGAGCAGCAAGTGATGAGGAGGCGCGTGCACGGTACAGGCCCCAGAAACGGCCGGCTCACCTGTCGTGGTGAATGATCAGGCTGATGGCCTCGAAGAGCACGGCGTTCTTTGCGTTCGAGTGCTGGACCTTCTTTGACTTCGGTGGCTCTTGGGCTTTGTTCAGGATGGTCTCCAGGCACTCTGTCAGGCGGCCCCGCACTGCGGGGTCTTCTGGGCAACAGAGAGAGTTGTTGGCCAGGCTCCAGTGGCCTCGGCCTACCCTGCCCCACCCACACTCCCCCTGACTGCACATCTTGTGGGTGTCTGATACAATTTGTGCGCATTTGTGTACACAGGTGAGAAAATTTACAAAACTCGGTGAGATCACAGCTCGCAGGTATTCCTATCCAAAGCTATAAATAAATATTAGAGATAAGGGGACTTAACAGCCATGGAAATTATATATACATCTCAGATCAAATAACATACAGATCACTTTCTCGTGTAATATAGATTGTGTAAGCCAAAGGGAAATAAAATCTCTGAGACATGAACAAAACACATGATAAAAAACATCTGAGGGAAAAAAGGACAAAAGATTTGTTCTCTACCTGCTATTACCAACAGAAATAGAGAAAAAAATAACAGAACATTGAAAATAACTCCTGCAACACGTCTACCCAAAAAAGCATCTCTACATCCTGGTTGTCGTAAAACTACCAGTTCAAGACAGGCATACGGTCCTGCTGCACTC